CACCCCACACCCACCCCACACGGACAGGCACACTCCACACCCTTGTTCAAAAGCACATATTACCTCGTCCGGAAAGTTTGTGCAACTCGTATACTATGATATCTTAGGTTAGCAAATATTGCATTTATTCAATGTAATAATCTTCGCTAGCGATTCTACATTGCCAACGAGTTATGTGTGGCTGTTAGCGAAGGTTATTACATTGATTAAATGTAGCACCTGTTAACCTAAGATTTCGTAGCATACGAATTGCACGAACTTTTCGGACAATATAATATTATCTACCCGACTTCGAACATTTTTTTGCTATCAAATACCAAAAATTTTGGATTACCATTTAAATTAGGATTCTTAAACAAATATTACACGCTACTAGATTCTTTGTTCTTTTTATTATCGTTTAAAATATACTGACAGTATGGAAAAATAATACTAAGGAAAAGATCAATTGTTATTGACGCAACATCTGACATCTATGAGAAAATCTTAGACCATTCCTAATATATATATATATATATATACCATAGAAGAAAATTTCTTTTTTATAAATAAATAATAACCTTACATATACTTTTTGTATGGAAACTACCAAAAAGTCTAGATCCTGTGCAGAGATGGGCAGTTCCAACTCCCGAGCGGAGCGGAGTCGAAGCAACCTACTCTCTCTGGCTCCAGTCATACGTTCCTTTTTTCACTTTTCCCATATGTAAAAAAATTTAGAAGGAAAATCAAATTAAAATGTTCGAAAACAATGATTGAAAACCTGTAGAATTCGTACATCTTTAGACTTTTATAGATCACTTCGCCTTGGCTCCAATTTTTATTGTTTAAAAGTCAATCAAAGAAATCGTTTTGTATAGATTTTTGTGTGTAGTTATAAAATAATATCATCTAATTTAGATCGATGTACATCGATTGTAAATGACGTATTTCAAACTCTAACAGATTTTAATTGAAGTTGATCTAACTTCGCTAGTTATTTTTTTATATGAGTTTTATTCTGTGAAGAAAGACAGGAGAACTCATGAGGAAAAAGCTCATCATTGATTATTCAAAATAGTGAATATGTTATACCTAAATTTTTTTTTAAAAATGGCAATATTTGAAATAATGGTTGATCATTCATTGAGTCAATTGTTCTATGTTTAATTTCGACTTTCGAAGAATATGCTCTCAATGCTAACTCTATTTAAGTTTAATTGACAATTACTACAGTTCGCTAGTCTATTTGTCATTCTAAATAATCCTCATATTGTAATCAAGGCAGTTGAAATATATTGATGATTGTTTTTTTGTTAAATACATCAACAACTGCTTTTTCTCTCAAATAAGTTGATGCATTTTTTTCTGTATTGTCTGTGTATGTTCATATAAGTCTTATCCTATGTAATATACAATATAGAAGTAAAGAGAAAAGTCTCAACCATTATTTCTTTTTAAAGTAAATGTGTTCCGAAAAAACTTTTTTCTTATTCTTATAAACTATTTTGGTACCATCAGGTGTAGAAGTATGGACATTATCTTTTTTTTCACAGCGTTTAAAACAAAATCTAATATTTAGCAATATCATGCCACTTTATTCGATTTATTACAATAAACTACTCATATAAATCATGCAATCAAAAAACTAAATCTGAGAAAAAATATAATATAAATTAAAAAGAGAGATGATCGAAAAGATTTTTCTCCATTATTGGGCGTAGACGCTCGTCTCAATGTCTTTAAATGAATACTATGTGTTCGTACAGACACCATGACATTTTCAATAGCGGGATTGTCAGCAGTAATTACAATTTCTTCTTCAAGAATATCTCCACGCATTTGCATCTTAGCGACGGCAAATACACCTTGATGTTTAAATGATGACACGAACACGTTATGGATCCATTGTACTGCTACCTTTGCACCACTAAGACCATCAACAATATAGAGATCGTCGGGACCACGTTCTCGACACAAACGATTGTCCTTAGTCATTTTAATTGTATCATGCTCTTTAAAAATACTTCTCCACGTCGTGCAGTTGTGATCAACCATTGGGTAGGGTCCAATTTCAAATGTCACATTATAACCATTACCTATTGCACCTTCCGGATAAGCTTTAGTTTCACCATACCAAGTACCAGTCCAATTAGTTTGAGCTGTTCCTGATTCACTCATAGGCCAACCTAAATATAGAACAAAATCGTGTCCATGAACGAAACGATGAATTAATTAAATCAAAATACATATTTGAAAGAAACAAAACAAAAAATCTGTGATAAAAGAATAAATATACTTCTGAATTTTAGTAATAAAAATATTGAAAACATAATGAACAACGGTTCAGATCAAGGTCGCTAAATGAAAATTTTAAAAATCCAAATTTGTTTTTTTGGAAAATCAGAAATAAGTTAGAGAAGTAGTTTCTTGCAAACCAATTGGTGTTATGTTAAGATACTAGCATAGAATATTCTGATGGGTTTCTGTTTATTGACTTATATGTTATTTTTCAAAAATGTTTCACTATAAAGAAAGACAATACGATGAATATATCGTTTATTAAGGGAGTTCCCTCAGAAAAGCGAATTTTTCGAAGATTAGTCGAAATTGAAGTTTTATCATAGGAAGATGTGTTTTATCGAAAAATGAATTGATTTTGACGAACTTATTGTGTAAAACTTTACTCCTACTGTCATATTTTTTGAGAAATTTCAACGGCTTTTTTTCTAGCTTTTTCGACTTTTTAGGCTCCTTTCTCTTTGCATTAGCATTTCGTAATTTTTTTTAAAATACTAATCACTAAGAAACTATCAAAACTTAATATTAAGATCACATATTTATAGCCTATCTTGAACATTGATGTATAAATCAAATAATTTTCGGAAAAATCGATTTCTAATACTTATTTTCCGTTTTTCTCAAAAAACTATTCTTTCGAGAATACTGTTTACGCATTCAAGAAGTTTTTAATCATGACTCAATAGATAAGGGTTAATTTTTTTTTGTTGAATAGAGGACACTTAAGGGTAGGTCGTAATAGAGCCTGATTTTTTAATTTCTCTTTTGGTGAAATAAAAAACTTAGTTATTTCATCTTTGTTAGTCATTTTTTGGGCATGAGTTCGTGAATTTTACGAAAAAGATTCTTTGAAAATCAAACAAATGGAAATTCAAAAATAGGGCTCTATTGTGACCTAGTCCTAAGGGCACCCTACAACCTGAAAACCGCCCCAACATGTTAGCTCGTATCCTTATTGCGAAATCCTTAGACGCGTGCAGGATAATGAATTGACTAGAACTTGTGCATTTCTTTGAGGTTTTGAGGGAGATATTTTAACCATAAGCTATTCTTGTCAGGACTAACATTCTTTAAAATTTTGGTTGAAATCGGATGAAAAATAACAAATTTCGTTTCTGAGAGGGACCCTTAATACAAAAAATATAATAAAAGATATTTAGTGTGTAATAGAAAGTTTATTGCTTATTCAGTTCACATCCAGTAGATGACGGTATAACTTCGACACTACCAATCACTAACAGAGAGAAAAGATAGTACAATATTAATCTATTATAGTAATGGGTTATAATAAGATTTAATTTCGCTAAAAAAGCTGTGATATAATTCAGAAAAGTTCAGAATTCAGGAGAAAAGTAGGGAAAATTATCAACAACAGAAAAAATCAGAAAAAAACACACTATCAGAAGGAAATCAGAAAGGCGTCAAAATTTCAGACACTTTCCTGACTTTTCAGACAATCTGACAACCTTGCTTCAGATACAAAGGATCTTTAGTAAGATTTAGGCGAGAATATGCGAAAATAAATTTTTTTTGTATCAAATAGTAATATGCAGTAGACTGTTTCATCATAGGTTCTAGAAAATAACTTTAATAGAAATATCTGTGTACTCTCGATCACTTTTATTTCAAGAGATGGATATTTATAAATACATGAGTTTAGAACACTAGAAACGTACTGAAAAAGTGTCTATATTCACACATGTTTATAGAACGATGAAAGATACAGATGAAAAACTAATACTCAATCAAGTCATGAAAATTTCAGCTAGTGTTGTATTGAAAAAGGGAGAAAATAATCTTTTCTCAATTTTCGCAATAGAATCATACTAACAATTCCAACAAGAAATAAAACCATCATAAATCAATTAAATATTGAAAACCAATGAATCTTAAGAACAAATCTATATAATCAAACAAGATATCGTTCTTTAATATTTACTTTATGTTGAAANAAAAACAAATATTGAATTTATTATCAATAAAAACTGAACCAATTTCTGCAACTTTGAAATTGCGCAATTTTTGGATAAGGCAATGGTGATATAGATGGAACGGATCACTTCTTAAAAAATAAAATTTTGAAGTGAAATTTTATTCTTAATGTAAACCTACGCAAGTTAGAGACTTACATAATGGTTTCTAGAATATTGTAAAAGCAGCATTCTAATGTTACGTTTCAATTCGTTATTTGCCATCAAAATACAACATTCTTTTAATTTTTCTTTAGACTCTGTTGTTAACACGTAGGATATCTTGGGTCTGGATTCGAGTATTTCCAAAAAGGATTCGCTCAGGAAAACTTTCCAACTCTCTAATGGAACTTTCCAAATAGATCTTCACGAGATCTATCGATTGCAACCGATTACGGCCCCATACAACATTCATAAAACCTCCTAAATCCCAAAAAACTGCTCAAAAAATGCCAAAAAAAACAGTAACACTTCGAAAAAGCTCTCAGGATTCGCTCTCATCAACTTTACAATGCTCTCATACAACTTTCCAAATAGATCTTGACACGCTCTATCGAATGGACATCTTTAGAGTTGTATTCCATGCTTTGGTTGCCCAGGAAATTGCTTTAGAATGCTAAAATCCTAGGTTTTCCATTACAACCCGTCAGGGTGTGGGTGTGGGCAGGGTTGCCAGATGAAAATTTTAAAAATCAGAATGTTTTCTTTCAAATTCAGAAAACGATCAGAAAATTTTTTTGGAAAATCAGAAATTAATCAGAAAGGTAGTTTTTTGAAAACCAATTGGTATTATGTTAAGATACTAGCATAGAATATTCTGATGGGTTTCTGTTTATTGACTTATAGTTTATTTTTCGAAAATGTTTCACTATAAAGAAAGACAATACAATGAATACATCGTTTAATTAAGGGGGGGGGGGGGGGGTCCCCTCAGAAAAGCCAGTTTTTCGAAGATTAGTTGAAATTGAAGTTTTCTCATAGGAAGATGTACTGAAGTCTCCTCTTTCAGAATACCTATGTTTTATCGAAAAATGAATTGATTTTGACGAACTTTTCATCCAAAACTTTGCTCCTAATATCATATTTTTTGAGAAATTTCAACGGCTTTTTTCTAGCCTTTTCGACTTTTTAGGTTGCTTTCTCTTTGCATCAGCATTTCACAAAGTTTTTCCAAATACTAATCACTAACAGACTATCAACACTTAATATTAAGATCACATATTTATAGCCTGTCTTGAACATTGATATATAAATCAGGTAATTTTCGGAAAAATCGACTTCTAATACTTATTCTTCGTTTTTCTAAAAAGATCTATTTTTTCTAGAATACTGTTTACGCGTTCAAGGATTTTTTAATAACGACTCAATAGATAAGGGTTAATTTTTTTGTCGAATAAAGGACAGTTAGGGGTAGGTCAAAATAGAGCCCGAGTTTTGAATTTCTCTTTTGGTGAAATAAAAAACTTAGTTATTTCATTTTTGTTAGCAATTTTTTTAGCATGATTTCGTGAATTTTACGAAAAAGCTCTTTTGAAAATCAAACAAAAGGAAATTCAAAAATCGGGCTCTATTGCGACCTAGCCCCAAGGGCATCCTACAACCTGAAAACTCCCTCAACATGTTAGCTCGTGCCCTTATTGCGAAATCCTTAAATGCATAAAGGATAATGAATTGACTAGAACTTGTGCATTTCTTTGAAGTTTGAGGGAGATATTTTAACTATAAGCAACTCTGGTCAGGACTAACATTTTCTGAAATTTTGGTTGAAATCGGATGAAAAGCAACAAAGTTCGTTTCTGAGGGGGACCCTTAATACAAAAAATATAATAAAAGATGTTTAGTGTGTAACAGAAAGTTTATTTCTTATTCGGGTAGTCTACAATAAGGCTATAACGAAAGCGAAAATAAGAATTTATTATAAGCGTCAGTTCACATTCAGTAGATGACTATCACTTCGACACTACCAATCATCAACAGAGAGAAAAGATAGCGCAATTTTAATCTATTATAGTAATGGGTTATCATAAGATTTAATTTTGCTAAAAAGGCTGTGATATGATTTTAAAAAGTTCAGAATTCAGGAGAAAAGCAGGGAAAATTATCAAAAACAGGAAAAATCAGACGGGAGTGCTAAAATCAGAAAAAATCAGACGATCAGAAGGAAATCAGAAAGACGGCCAAATTTCAGACAGTGTCCTGACTTTTCAGACAATCTGGCAACCCTGTGTGTGGATGTGGGTGTGGGTGTGTGTGGGTGTGGATGTGGAGTGTCAATAGATGTGGGTGTCGGTACGACTGTCCATCTTTTCAAGACCAATACGCACACCCAAACCCACACCCGCACCCACACCCACACCCACATCCACACCCACACCCACACACCCGTACCCACACACCCACACCCACACCCGCACCCACACCCACACCCTGACGGGTTGTAATGGAAAACCTAGGATTTTAGCATTCTAAAGCAATTTCCTGGGCAACCAAAGCANCTTGCGTAAAAAGGATTTTTCCTCTGTTGCAAGTAGATTTGGGTTTTACATGTTTTTGCTTTGTTCTTATTCATCTTGATAATTTCTTTTTTTTTCACATAAGAGAGACGTCATTTTTCTTTTCTCCTCGTGTACAGGTTAGAATTTATATCTCGTTCTGCTATTCACTATTTTTTGTTACTCTATGTGTTTTTCTTTCCTACTCTTCATTTGTGAAATTTTATGATTTTGTCGTGATTTGACATATAGCGATTCAGTTTTTAAAAAAAGTAAGACACTTAATAAGAATAAACAATGAGTCAAACGTGATTTCCAATTATGGAAAAATTGTAACACTGTCGCAAAAGATTCTATAGATTGAATAATTCTCTCTTTTTTCGAGGTATGCCCCAGTGCTTACATCGAAGGAACTGTAGTAGTGTATTAATAATTGCTGAGAGTAAAAAATCACCAGAAGAAGGAGAAAGCAAAAACATGTAAAACCCAAATCTACTTGCAACAGAGGAAAAATCCTTTTTACGCAAGTAGCATGACTAAGATTGTTATGATATTTCATATTTGAGAAAAAACCAGAAATACATAAATATATAAGGACTAATTGTAGAATACAAGACATTCGACAGAAAACCTATCTAATTAGTAAGCCAACGAATATATTGCAACATTTGGACATGGTAACTGCAATAGATCATTCATTAAACTTCTCATCTTATGCAAAATCGGACGAACGATTTGTTTACTTGAAACACGATATAAGTAAGCGAGTGAAGAAAATACATGAGCGACTAGATTTCCGACGTAAATATTCAACTGAAGATATGTTCATGGCTGGGTTCAGTTATACTGGTGCCGGTGATACCGTTCGGTGTGAAGCATGTCAATTAGAAGTATCTGGATGGACTCAAGATATGGTACCAAAGATTGTGCATGCTGAACGTAATCCTAATTGTCCATTTGTATGTTCTGCTCTAGTAAACCCTTGCATGGAGCCAAAGGATCAAGAAAATCCTATAAAACGTCAAAAAATAGAATCAAATTCAGATCAATGTAAATATAATTGTAAATTGTGGGAATTAAATAAACTCAAGCACATACGACGTCGAACATTTTCTCATTGGTCTCATCAAATAAAGCCATCTGCTGAAAAAATGATCAATGCTGGTTTTTTTTCATGCAATGTTGGTGATCGTGTTATTTGTATATATTGCAATTTGATTTGTCAACAGTGGAAAGCAGATACCGATGATCCATCTGAAGTTCATAAAACTCTTTCACCTACGTGTCCATATGTTCTATCAATAATAATACAACCGGAGCGATCATCTTCTGTGATATTAAATAAAATATCAACAAATAATCGGAATAGTCAAATCTTTGATTCAACTAATGCTGCACAAATTCAATCTGATCAAATTGTTAATACAACGCCGTATAATCCTGCATACAATGAGATTACAAAACGTCTACAATCATTTACAACATGGTCTCATAAATCCTCACCATCAGTAGATGAACTAGTTCGAGCTGGCTTTTTTTATACCGGTGCTGAAAATATTGTAGCATGTTTCTATTGTAATGGTTGATTACAGAATTGGAATGCCAATGATAATCCCTTAATTGAACACGTTCGATGGTTTCCTTATTGTGGCTATGCAAAACAAGTGTGTGGCGATGAACTTTATCGAAAAATTCAAGAAGCCAAACGAGTTCTACAATGTACATAATAAATATTGTTTATTCGTAGAAAGAGAACAAACGATTTTGTTTTAATAAAAATTTTCTTTCTCTTTTTAGAGCGTAATAGAACTAATCGACCAAATGAGACAAGAGAAAATGGTAATCTACTAGTTTCAAATCAATTACAAGTAAATGATTCTAATATCTTATCACGTTTTGTTGCTGCTCGTCTTGATTTATCAAGTTCGCAAAATTTACTTAATCAAAACTTTAAGTTATCAGTTATAAAACGATGTTGGGAAGATCAATTACAATTAAAAAGTAAGTATATTATAGGAAGTTATTAAAATATACTAAGAATTATTATCTATTTATTTAGAAGACGATTTTTTCACCGACGCTGATCTGTTAATAGCTTGCACTATTCTACAAAAGCAAATCGATCATATCCAAGGCAATAAAGAAAATATTATTATTCCTAGTATTCAGATGAGTTTAATTCATGAGAGAAAACAATCTGGTTTATCATCTTTATCAACACACGCAAACAATAACAATGTAGGAGTATTACAAAATCAATTAGTTCCTGAAACATCTAAAATAGAATTGACAACAACAACAACAACAACAACAACAACAACTACTACTACTACAAACAAAAACAATTCAGCAGTGTCAGAAACAAATTCTACTAAAATTTCATCAATAGTTAATCCTTGTATTATTTGTCATCAAGACGAGAAACAACTCGCCTGTATCCCATGCGGCCATTTAACGACATGTGTGTCCTGTAGTCATACACTTCGAACATGTCCAATATGTCGAAGACAAATCGAAGCATTCGTTCGTGTTTATATTTAAGATTTTACTTTAGTCAAGAAGAATGATGCATATCAGTCTTCCTTCTATTTATATTTGAACTTAAAATCGGCCTATCCATTATGTTTCAAATACATATTCATGTGGCTTGTTAATACACAAATAACCGAGATATTGAGATCCAAATGTAATAAATCTTTTTCACTTTACTCGAAATCAACTGATCTATATGTTTTTCTCAAAATAAAGCATATTATACCACTATTCGAAAAATAAAAATGTAATACGTTTAAGTATCATTATTTTTTATTTTGTATAAGATCTAAAATATATTTTCCATAGTTTGTATTTACATTGAGTTATATTTAATTGAACAGAATAACAATGATCAAAACAATACTGAACGAATACATTAATTGTTTGATTCGTTTTTTTTATTTTGTAATACAACAAGTAGGTTTTTTCTGTTGCCATTTTTTTGCCAATTAGTGTTCGTTCTATTAAGCCCTCCCAGTCTCAGAAATGATTTTCCACTTATAATGGGTATTTTGAGCTGAAAATTTCAAGGATGGGTGATCCTAAAGGGATACTCCTTTGGTAAAATTTTCAGTCCGATAAGTCTTTCTAGGCAGGAGTTTTAGCTGAATCAAAGATAATTTTTGGCCTTTAGAAAAATCGATATCGTTTCGTCATGGTACAAAGTACAGGGTTCGAATCCGTTTCAAATTAAAGCCGATGCTAATACGCAACTTTTCATCAGAAAGAATTTTTACATTATGTGTTATTGATTTTTTTATGAATCTTTTGGTAGACATGTCTTAAAATAAGCATAAAAAAGTGATCCGACGACAGTAAATCCCACTTTTCTCAGCCAGGATTCGAATTTAAAAAAACTGGTTGATGAAAGGTTTACTCTCGTTGAAACCTTTACAACCAAAAAAATTAAGTCTACCTCGAGAAATGAAGGAGTGATTCCAATTTTCATGATTGAAAACCATGTTTTGAGAAAAACCCTAAATTTTTAGGTATGGATTTTTCGTTCAAATTCGAAAAAAAAACACATTAAAATAGCATTTTTCCAATATATTTCATAAAATATTTTTAAAGCACGTAACTGATGCAGTAAACTAACACCATATATCATATTCAAATAGTATTGCTCGCCTTTTTTTCACGTAATGCACGTCTAGCACAATATTTCTGGATCTGATGATTCACAGTTCTTTAGATATATTTAGAAACCTGAGCGTTATTAGGCAAAGGTGAGTAAAACGATACAACCGAATTATAATTAGGGTAACTCATGACCTCTCAGCGACAAGACATTATCACTTCTGTTTTCGATATCTGTTACAATGCCTTATGTCGTACATTTCATATGAATAATGCTATTTTGCCTGTTGATCTAGTCAAAATTCTGAAATAGTGTGGATGTGGGTGTGTATGAGCGCGAATGTGGCTGTGGATGGGTGTTAATGTAGGTGTGGAAGTTAGTGTGGTTGTGAATCATACTACCTCATGTTCATAGCTGCAAGCCCACACCCACCCAAACCCACACCCCACACCCACACCCACACTCACACTCACACCCTCCTAAAATCTAAAAATAAAACTGGAATATGAATTCCTGAAGTCTTACGATTAGAAGTGTAAAGCGATGAGCTGAGTCGCAGCTGTCGGTGGGACAAAGTATTAAAAGTTTTAAAGCTTTTTCAATGCCTGAGATCACTTGTCAACGATGTTTCTGTGTAGGTTTTTTTTATGTGTTCTCTACCATTCTTTTCTCTTTTTCCATCTGACAGTTTCTCGGAAATAAGGAAACCTTAAAGAAATCGTCCGATAAATTCAGTCATTTCCACCGACGAACAAAAAAGTTGAGTATTTTCAGTCGCTGCCGAAAGAAAAAAAAATAATATCACGCTTACACACTGCCGATCTGTGAACTGTTTTACGCTTCTGCCTATAGAAGTGAAAATAAATTTTTTTTCTGGAAATGAGAGTGTAACAACAAGAAGAACAGATTTTTTTCCGAGAAAGACAGTGAAAGAACAAGATAGCAATTTTTTTCGGAGAAAGAGAATATACAAACGAGAACTGCAAATTTTTTCTCCGAACAGAAAGAAGAACCGAGAAAAGTTGCTGTGATAACACTAGTGATCGGGCAATGTAAACTTAGTCGCTAAAAATGATGAAAGTCTTTGGCACCTATTAGCTGATATGATTCAGGTTTTTTATGCAGTACTCCGTCACTTTTAACGAAAGAAGCCTACTTTAAATGGTTGGTGATCCAAGATTGGACATTTAGCCACACAACACTAAAAGTTTTCTCAAACATAGGTTCTAGGTCTGTTTCAATAAACGTAACGATTGATTGCCGACAGCGACAAAAAATCTTCACTTCTGCATACTACGTATTGGGAAAGCTACAGTCAACGTTAAATCCTGATAGCTTTAAAATTTACTGTAGCGGTGCATTACGTAGTATGCATCTGTACAAAAATTTTTATGTACTGCACAAACCTATCAATTTGACCGAGTAGAAAACAATTATTTGAGCGTACCATAGTCTATACACTCTAAAAAAATTTGTCTCTTACCGAATCCCTAAAAAAGGTTCCGGAGATTTTGAAAAGCATCCAAAGGTGTCGAAAGTATCAAAAAAAGGATAAAAAAATCTAAAAAACCTTGAAAGGTTCTTACGGTGTACCCAGAATAAGAAACTTCTTCGGCGAAAACATTTTTTTAAGTTCCGTACAGCACGAAAAGGTTTTGTAGGAAAATACGAAACCTTTAGAGTTTCATATTAAGCCCTAATAGTTTCGTACGAAACCGTAATAGTTCCATACTAAATTCTCATAATTTCCTAGAGTTTAATAAGAAACTCTAAAGATTTCGTATTTTCCTACGAAACCTTTTTCTGCTGTATAGAACTTTAAAAAAGTTGTCGCAGGAAAAGGTTCTTATCATAGGTACACAGTTAGAACATATAAAGGTTCCGTAGATCTTTTTATCCTCTTTTCGAGAATTTGGACACCTTTGAAGGCTTTTAGAAATCTCTGGAACCTTTTTCAAGGGTTCTGTAAAGAAACGATTTTTTTCGAGTGTTGATGAGTTCAAGAATCCCCTTCATAAACCTTATCATAAACCCTTGAGGTAGTTCATAAGGGTAAGAATTGGTTTCATATACCTAATCATAAACCCTGTTGACCATTCATGAGTCCCACAAACGCTTTCTAATATTGTTTTTCAGAGGGGATCACAGGTATAGTATCTTAATCATTTCTGTTTAGACAGAGTTTCGAAAGTTATATAAGAACGTTTATGTTGATTATAAATCTCTTACGGGGGCTTATGAAAGTGCAGCGTGTCGCAGTCCCTTTAAGGATCTATCAATCTTATCAACGCTTCCATAAAACTTTCCAGAAAGAGTATTCAACATTTATAAACTCCATATTAAACCCTATTTAGTGGGCCTATAACAGAGTTCATGACCCCTTGATAAATAGTTGAAAAGGGTTTGCTAGACGTTGCATTTTCATAAACTCTTTTTTCGTTTTTTATTCTACCCTTTTTCTATTGTAGTTCGTTTATGTACAAGTGTATGATCGAACATTGGGAAGTTTGGGTGGGTGTCACTGTATGGGTGTAGATCTTATCCTCATATCCACACCAACACATCCACACCCATACCCACACCCACCCACGCCCATACCCACACCTGCCAACCCATACCCACTCCCACTCAAACACCCACACCCCACACTCACCCACACCCACACCCATACCCACACCCACACCCACACCCACACCCACACCCACACCCACACCCACACCCACACCCACTCACACTCCACACCCACACTCACACCCACATCCACACCCACACCCACACCCACATCCACACCCATACCCATACCCACATCCACACTCACACCCACACCCACACCCACACCCCACACCCCACACCCACACCCACACACCCACACCCACACGCAACACTGCCAATAAATTATTCAGTGAACTGACCAGAAGAAGTTTCATATATATTTGATGTTACTTAGCTTACTTAGTCCCTAATCACACTGACAAACCGCAGTGCCTACCCGTCTGGATGACCACCAGACCGCACATTCATTTTATTTCATCTGGCCCTTCCTTGACTGGGAGGAGGGAAAAGCTCGTTTCTGATTGGTCCACTATCTGACCAACGAAGATTCCAAAAGAAACATTGTCATCACATTACAATCTCTCGATGCTGATAATTTATTACAAAGTTTTATAAAAACATGAAAACATATTAAAACAAGATATTCTATTCAATGTTTCAGAGACCACAGAGCAAAAGAAGTTCACAAGGGTTATGAGAAAACCCAGAAAATTTTTGTAAAATGTTGCTAGAAATTCGTATGCATTCTAGATCATTTGTCGTTTATGATGTTTTGTACAGAGTTCGCTAGGAAAATATGACGTTACTTTAACCCTCAGCTTAAAGTCAATCATATAATATCTGTTCAGTAATCTGAAGATCATACTTAAAAGAAGTTTCTATTCAAAACAGCGATCAGTCTAGACAGGTAATTTAATGTATCAGTACATATTGAGATACTTCAATGAATACGGACAAGAACATATGCCAACAGAACAATTCTCTATTTCATTCATATTCCCTTCCGATACAGCAAATATAAATTCTTAGAGTAATGTTTTCCGTCTAATGACTTATTCAAATATTGTGTCCAAACACCAAAACGTTTTGTCATATTTCACTTGTTAATGTTTTTTTAGCTTCCCCCCCCCCTGCTATTCCTTATTCAAACCCATTAGATGTCGACAGTTGATGTTCATTCAATGAATCCAAACAATTTGAAGCAGCTCTTTAATAAATCATCCAGTGGAGCAGCTAGTCGCTCGTCGGCGCTCCTCCGGGCGCCACTCACGACTAGCTGCTGCCACGCATAATTTCACTCCTCCATAACACCATCCCTTTCTATTTAAATTCTACATGATCCCAGGGTAGCTTACTTTGAAAATTCGTTTAATCTGTTGTACGAGAATTCTCGACGGAAATTTATAAATAGAAGCTTTCTCGTATAATATTTCTGATTTTTTCAATTTGACTGCCTAGCTAGACAATCAGAGTTTTCTTAAAGATCCTCGTTTAGGAAATCTTAGTGCAGTTTTCTTAAGAAAATCTAGCCTTTACATGGATATTTTATGACATAAGTATGCAATATGCTAACAATGTGAACGACTAATGGTTTGTCGGCACCTCTTTGGGATGCTACCAATGGCTAGCAAACCCTTTTACACCAGTGCATTTGAACAAAAGTTTTTTATTGTCCATTTAATATAAAAGATCTGACATCATTTACATGTTTTTTGTCATGTTCAGTCCCGATTGAAGCCCACTAAATCTAGGGCGTTAACTTTTTCCGTTGAATTCTGATAGTTTGACGTCCTTCGTAAAGGAATTTTTCAGTGCAGTGGCTAGTCACTGCCATGTGTGATCCTATTCTCCCATGAGATAATTCTTTTTGAGTCGCATCCTATTAAATACCAAGCTACTCTTACTTAGCGAAATTGCTAGATTCATAACAGCAGGATTCTTGATGTGCAGCTCCCAAGCGATACTTCATTATTATCTATTCCTCATTTCTTCGATCGAATTGTTTAACAAACAGGTTAGAGTTTAATCAGAGTTCCTAATTCAGAGAATCTTAGTGGGATATTCTCAATAAATCTCGCTTTCACATGGATCCTTTTCTAAAGCGACATTACAATGCGTTTCCAATATTAGGAATCAGTCTTTCGCCAGCGCCTCTCTCGGACATCGCTCATGGTCGCTTGCTGCATTATATGAATACATAAAAACAACAGCTGGTTATGCTGCATTTACACTAAAGTTTGTAACCTCATTAGAGATTTCTTTTTATATAAGCTTTCCCAAGTTAAGCGGATTATATAGAACCAAGATATTTGACTCAAAAAACAATTAATAAACAGGAATACATCAATGTAGGGTATTGCCAGTGTGAGTGTCAGTGTTGTGTGAGCACTGCTCTATGACAGCGAAAGTTACTGACACTGTCATTCCACTACTACACACTCCCATCTACACCTCAACGATATTCTGAAAAGTAAACGGCAATCGAACAATCTGAATCCACAAAAGGATTTTACAAATTTTCAGTT